TTTTGATATGCATAAAAGAAAAAAATAGGGTTTTTCAACCTTTTGTTATTATTACATGTTATAGGCTATACATCCTAATTTTGTTTCCACATCTAACTTTTATCATCTTTTTATAATCCTATGTATCTTATACATTTTATATAACATAATATATATATATATATATATATATATAGTGTACATATGCAAGTTTCTTTAGACTTTTTATTGTTCTTACATGTTATAAGCTATCTTTTTCTTCGATCCTAATTTTTTTGGGGTGGAAATCTATCTATTATAGAACTTTTGTCAGTCTTTGCATCTTGAACATTTCAGCCACCATAATGTTTATAAATAGTATGATCTAAATTTTTTCTTTGCTTTCTAGTTATTATAGTTAGTATAGAGTACAATTAAAGCTTTTTTTAGATAAATAGATTTGCTACAGTTTTAAAAAATCAAACATTGTTATATATCATATTGATCAATATATTTTCTATTGTAATATAACATATATATAATATAGTATTTTATTATCAATATATGATATTTCTATTTCTATTTATATTGGTTGTCCTTCTTATTTGTTTGTTCGGACTTACTATTTTGGTTAGATCTTTGTAGGCAGCTAAGGCGGACCATAACTGAGGTTCAACTCCTCAATTAGCTTTATTCGTTATCTACTTCTTAATGTTACATGATATTTTATCTAGTCTAAAAATTTATTTTTTCCAATATGCATTATATTTAAAGTAATTTAAAATTAATTTTCATTAAAATAAGAATATCTGACTTTTTTTATTTAATATCAGCTGAAGAGAGTGAGAAAAATGGATTCAAATTCAGAATATTTTATCACTTGAAAACCTATAAGATCAACATTTTTTTCATAATGGAATAATTTGGTCTTTATCATGAACACAATGACTTTCTGTAAGTGAATGGGATTATCCATATTTAAAATTTATCATAAGTCTAAGTTATTCAATTTCAGGGAATGGAAAATTTTAAAAACCCTTAATGTATTCAATGCATGTAAATGTCTATTTATTTTCTATTCTAATACTTAGAATGTGATTTGTAACAAATTTATAATATATTTTGTTACAGTAGATTGTTATTTTATGACCATTAATTCACAGGCAGAATTAATATGGATGGGTGTGACATATATGTACTGTATGCATTGTATATTCTGTAAATTTTTTATTTACGTTAGTAAAACAAAGAAATACAAAGATATACATAAAGTTGAAATGGGCAAATAAATAGGAAATTGGATGACTAACTAGGGAAGAAAACAAGGTTTTAGTATGTAAAGATTGGAAACTCCTCTATCATCAATAAATCATACCAATACCCGTGATTTAAAAAACTTCATCAGGTGAAATTTTAGTTGAATGAACAAAATTATTCGAATGAAATTTCAATTTCAAATTATTTGATGCTTCTTATCAGTAACAATAATACTCAATTATCGGTTACTAATTAGTACTAATTATCAAGTGTATTTGTTTCTGAGCACAGAAGCAAGCTACTACACGAAATAAAGAACGCAGACAAGCAGAAACTCCATCAGAAGAAGAAATGCTTTAGGCACAATCACTGCAGTGTCTAAGAATGCTCACTCCAAGTTGCGATGCAGCCAGCTGTATGGAAAAATAAGTTCTTTGCTTGTTTGATATAAGTCTCATAAATTGCCTCTTGTCGTGACAGTCTGCTTTGTGTCATACAAGTCTAATTTCATGCACTCAATTGAGCCCTAATATTTATTTTTATTTGACAAAACAACTTACTGGATGTCTTTGGAAATTTAGTTGTCATGGTTGCCATCTTCGACGGATATGTACTACGTCATTTAAAATATCTCCAAGATAAATCATTCTTATTACTCTTGATAAAAATTGCTTGTGTAGATGGTTTACTGTATTCATGAATTAATTTTTTTGCTACAAGATTTTGTAGTTGGTAAATTTTCCATAGTTCTCACCTATCCATAATTCTCACAATCAACATATCAATCTTGACTGAAAATATAACGGGGTGGACTTAAAAAAATAAAATACTGGCTGCTGTACATGATGAAATCTTAAGTTTGAACAATCAGACAGCATGGTGAAAAATTCTGTTTGAACAATCGTATAGCATTCTGTTGTATCTGTGATATTGTATTCTCAATGTTTTCATCCTCATTTACAGCTCGTCAATGGAAATATTTGATAGGTAGAAGGATCACGCAGGTCTGTGAAAGCACCTTACATGAAAGTAACGCGTGATAATACATGCATTTCTGTAGATTTCTTCTCGCATGAGTTTCATTCTGTATAGATGTAGTTTAGCTTTCGTGCCGTTGCCAACATCGTAATGGCAAACGGCCAGTAGGGCTCAATGACAAATCCCGCGAGCATTCCTATTTACTAGTCCGCTATTTCCAATTGTTATACTTGAACCTACAATTAAACTTTAACTCTGAATTTTTGGTGACGGTCCCTCTCAAATACATTGTGACGTTCTGTTTACACGCGATGGATCGGAACTCATTTCCTGCTCAGTGCTTTTGCTGGTACCAAAATTTCTTTTAAATTATAGAAAAAAAATATATATTCGAATTGATCCTATCAAAATCACACACATTATAGTTAACATTATATATCACCTATGCATTAAGCCACAAATTACGTCTATCATTAGCCAAAACTATCGATAAAGTAATATATTGCAAAAAATCCCGTTTTGAACCTAACCTAGTTTTGGTATAATACCAAATTTCTGAACTAATTATGTTTGAAACGCTTCAAGAATTGTAAAATATTTGAAAAAAAACCTCTATTCATTTGAGGATTTGCAGATAAATATGGAGCTTTGATACTCTCGAATCTTCATTGCTAAAGACACCTACGCAACTCGCTCTGAGTTTTTTGCGCTTTGGTCCTTCGTCCTAAATAACTAAATAGATTTATATTCATTGATTTATCCATATGTGACGTGAAATTGCGAAATGAATAAAAGAAGTCATTCAAAGTCTACTACAACACTAGAGACAAAAACTAGTCAAGCCAAACGCTATAGAGATTCATTGTTTGCCGTCTCTATTATCAACTCTTCGGTACAGGTAGAAATAAGATCGTCATAACTCAAATTACGCAATAGTTATTCCCGAAATTCTGGTATTTTTGCCTTGTAGTTTGCTCTTCGTAACGATTTGGTCATATTGCTCCGTTTGCAGTGAGCGAACGTACGTTGTTGAATACATGACTTTTGAGGATGATGCGCAACGAGGACAAAGAGAGGGGCCGGCCCTGCTCTTATAATGAAAAGAATAGCCCTGACGTAGCGTATTGGAATGAATGGTTCACATTTATTTGAAATAACTCAAGCTTCCGATGATTAAATTATGGCAGCTTTGAAAACCAAATTTACTGTTTCTGATCAAGTTAGATTAATAGCTGTTAAAAATGAGAAACTTCTTTATTAAATAGAGATTTTTAATCTTTAGCAAGAGTTATAGATGTCTAACCTCAGTCTTGTGATTTGCACGTTTGGAACATAAACCCATAAGTTTAGAAGGTTTGATAGTTGCATTGATCATATAAGTACTTCTCTATATGTAAGTAACACTTCTCTAATTTCATTTTCAAGTTTATTGCATTCAGTACTTTTGTCAGATAATCAGATATAACAAGATTATTCACTACTTTTTAACCTCATCGGGTAGGCTTCTTTCCTTCGTCACATCTGTGAAGGAAAGTCGTTGGTTTTTTTCGCTCACTCCATTTTTATATATCTGCCGGATCTAAATTACTCTTTCGTGTCTCACTTAGTCTACTTTGTATTCAGTATACACCTAAAGCTATCATAGGTTTACGATGAATTCGAATGAAATCTCTGCTTCTCTTTACTCGCAACCGGTCCCTAGGCATAACCTTCGGTTATGCCTAGGGACCGAATCTGCTATCGCATAACCTTCGGCCTTATGCGATAGCAGATTTAGACACTTAAGAACAGATTTAGGATTTCATAAATCAGAAAATACTAGATCAATTATACATGCCGGTGATTTTATACCTCAATTAAATCGTAGGCTCGTTAAGGGACTCATAAATGCACTCTTTGAACTTTTTCTTCTCAGGCAGGTACCGGTGTTAATGTTTTCGTGGGATACTTTGTTGACGATGCCTCTGCATATGTATACTGGGCACCGGATTCTACGATTGAAGCATCATAGTTCCACTCTACATGATAGATGCACTGCAATGAGCTCTTTGTTTACGTCCAGGATTAAAGAATTCGAGGTGTCTCATCGATCGTGGAATGTTATGCGCGACGAGTAAACATCAACTATTTGGAGGACGCTAGATTAAAGTCAAGTTTTTGCCGTTTTTCAGTTCTATTACGTCTCTGAAGATTCCGTACGCTTGCATCTAGAGGTAAAGGGCTAGGAATTCTGATTTAGACGATAGACGAACAAAGAAGCACAAATTTCAGATATGAGCATTGAGTATGCTTTAGTGTTGGATTTTTCAAGAAAATTGAAATTTCGAGTTTTGGTGATGTCTTCAGGTTCTATCATTTAAATAGGGTATTTACATCGTTAGCTGGAACAAAATAAATATACAAACTTTATAGAATCATCATCCACTGGAACTGGCTCGGTGCAGATTCCGTTTAAATGTAGTGTAAGTGGAGCCAGTAGGCCAGTAGGCCAGTATCTTGTCTCTAGCAGAAATTATTAGGAAGCATTGTTTCCATGAGTCACAAGTTGCAATTGATGCTTATCTTATCCGTATCACAAGTTTCAAGTTATGCTTACTTGACCAACTTGTTCCAGCTCAGCTTAGCTCGGTTTAGCTGTCATTTATACTTGCTGCTGAATATATCGCGTTCATAGACTCAGATGCACGACAGAGGCGTGATATACAACTTATAGGCATTGGTCTGACAGGAGGAGAAGTGAAAATTGTCTGTTCTTTTAAGCAAGAGGATAACAAATCCAGGACGTAATTCATGACTCCAAAAGCATTAGTGGATCTTTCTCTGCTCATATAAATCTATGTGCTCATCTGAGTAGAAGCGGCAGTGTAATCGTTTCCACTTGCAATAGCTTGTAATAGCATTTGATGCAGGAATGGCTTCGTGGGACATGGTGAGTCGAATGTTCAGAGACATTGCACAGTTGAAAAACGAAACGGAGATGCTTCTTGCTGAGGCACAAGCCTTGGAAACATGGATCGACAATGCATCTTCAGGAACAGTGGAGATGGACGTGGAAGACAAAGAGCGACGTCTTGAGACTTTAAATACTGAGGAGCGCGATCGTGCTTTGAAAGAAGAGACTCTTTGCAACAAAGCGATGCTGGAGATGGAGGCTATTACTCTCTTCGATAAAGAGTCTGAGAAACGCCGAGGAAATGATACACAATAGTAATATCCACCAGCATGGGCAAAATTTGGGTAAGCTTTCGTCTAGAGAGAACGCTTCTGTCAATTCCAGTGTATTCTTATCTTAGGTCTCAACTCAGAATGTCTGAAATGATTTTGATCTGTTATTGAACATAATTCAGCCATAATTTTTAGTGCCCGATCTGGGTTATGAGAGTGCAGTGAGTAGCTAAGAATTCGCCAGTTTCTGCATTTGGTTTTGATCCTGGTTCACAATACACACGCTGAGCATCCCTTCTGAAAAAAATTGACGACTTGGACATTTCTTCAAGACTTTTCTGACAACCAGTCTATGGTTCAGATGTGGACTCATTCTAGCGGCAGACTAAAGGAGAGGCGCTGCAGCTGCAAGTTTGTGAGGACACGTAGAATGAATTCGACAATCTCTTTCCCAAAGGTTAAACTCAAGTATGCTCATCATATTCGATTTCAACCTAAATCTCCAGCCCGTCCTACCCATCTAATTCTCCTCAATCAGCCAGACATATGAGCAAAGCAGTGTGTACTTTGATAAGTTATTGGGGAGATAAAGTGGAATGCATTCGTGATATCCAAATAAATTCTATTTTTATGTTGCCTGCTTTGCATAATATTGGAGTCAATTAAGAGAAAGTGGAATGCTTGGACTAACCCAAGGTTGAATTACTTTGAAGAACAATCGTACTACCAATATCTATTACCACTAGAACCCACGGATGTACAAGTAGCCATATTGAGCCTCCGTTCGATCTCACCATCTCGTTCGTTTCGATCTTGATTTTGAATACTTTGAGATTGTGGTCGCTGTTACCGTCTGCTGACGAAGGGAAGCCAACCAAAATAAGGCGTGTTTTCGCACAGAAAACCGTGAAGAATGAGCAGCATCGTGAATGAATAAATGGACTTGTGGACGTTTCTACACTTAATCTGATCGGAGGTCGCATCAATCCTGTCTTTACTTTGAAAGTGAATCCCCGGCCTTGACCTCCCACTCCATCTCATAGCGGATCAGCTTTCGGACATTTACTCGCAACTTAACCGCAAGAACTTCAAGAAGGTGGAGAAGGAAGAGCATCGAGCACACCTCAGGAACTGTCAGAGGCTTAGGGTCAGTACCACGATGCTATACATTACCATTGGTAGCAAAGGTTAAGCGAACATATCAACCTCCCTGGCTCACTTCGAAGAATTGGCTCCACCGACGTGCATACAGGACGTGGAAATTTCCCTCATCGAGCATTGACGGGACCAAGTCCTTCCCACAGCAAGCCAACAGTACCCAGCAGCCAGACCCCATCGGTCAGTGCCTGTCAGAGATTTCTTACGACTTAATCTTTATGATTGTATTCCAATTTGGTGTATTCTAATTTTATATCGTACACATGTTACACATACCCATGCGTGTCATCAAGCTCAGAGAAGTGCACCACTCAGTGAATTGATTGCAGATTTTAGGAGATGTCTCTGTTCTACAATTTGGTGTTGGAACTTTCGCTCATCCTTTGGGTAACACCCCAGGTGCAGTTGCCTTAGTCTTGGCCTAACTTGACCAAGTATACGAAAGACATCTCACACTATTTCATATATGACATATCCAAATGATACAGCTCATTTCATCTATCAAAATATGTACTTTGGAATTCAAAATATTTTGATGCTGATTGGTCCTAATTCCATAATATCGATTTGGTTGTAAGAATTGATGTTGTCATAGAAGTTCTACATGTTACTGCTTTGCATATTTCTATTGATCGGATTCAATCATACACGTCAGCCTGCAGCAAGGCATCACTGTGGTGACTCCTAGCTCCGACCAATATTCGGCCAAAAGGTTAGCGCCCCAACGCACGTAACCTGAGCTCTGTCTCGGCAGCACTCAAGGTAAACGATGCCATGAACCTTTTGTCCAGCCAGTTCCACAGCGATCGTGTCTGAACTCCAGCCTCGCAATAGACACTATGACCGTTATGGCGCGCATAGTTATACGCGCCATAACGGTTTCGCTCGGACCGGTTCTCGTGACTTGCGACCGCCCTCGGATCCGCGCATGACCCTCCGCGACCCTAGGCTTGGCCACGGTCCGGACCGACGGTTAACCGTTGGGACCGGTTAACCGGTCCCAGATTTCTCCGGACCGGTTAACCGATCGGTTAATCGGTCCGGGAAAAAAATTTTCCTCCGGCGAGCCTCGCTGCTGCAAATAAATAAGTACATTTTTTTATCACCTAATTTGATCACCCAATTCGATAAGTGGATAATCCCTAGCATAAATCTCGAGCTTGGATGTGTTTCTCCAGCTTCCCTGCACCCTGGCGCAAAGTCGAAGTCTCTCCAATTCGAGAGCGTTTTCAACCGGGAGGATTTTCAACGGTCCGAGTGGGGGCTCATTTGAGTCCTCGAGCTATGGCGCAATTCCTCCTTCGTTCCCAGCCCCTCCCGTCGGCCACGTAGGGTCGGGACAGATGGTTAACCGGTTAAAACCTCGGTTAACCGTTAACCGATATGGCAAAATGCCGGACCGGTTAACTTACCGGTTAACCGGTCCGCACATTTCCCGGACCGGTTAACCGTTAACCGGACCGTGGCCAAGCCTACGCGACCCTTTGACCTCACTCGACCGCAGCAGCCTACCCTGCCCTAGGCTGTCCTGACGTCCCCACTGCCTGAGATCTCCCAGAATAGCTCACTCCAAGGTTTAGTAGCGTTATAAAGCAATCTACCCTGCCCTGGGCTGACCTGACGTCCCCATTATCTGAAATTTCTCAGAATAACTCATTCTAAGGTTTAAGCTAGTTTAATTTAACAAGAAAAGAATATCCACGGGCGGGCCTATCAATGTCACGATAAAGCATATTCCGTTTGAGACTAGAGAAGCCAGTCATGGAAGACGCTGTCGTCTATCTATGTCAAGGACAACAAGCAAATATTCAAAGCAAGCAAATAACGCTGAATTCCAATCAACACGCTGACTTCATATTTCTTATACATGAAGTTTTCTATTGGACTTTTCAACTCATGACACATATTTCAACCCGTGATTTGTCGAAATCATACTTTGACATTATTTTAATTTGGGAGGGACTAGTTATTCATTCGTTTATACTAATTATCCCTCATTTATACTAATTATCCCTCAACTACCAAAATTAGATAATGCAAGGGTCATGATGATGCTTATCGAATCCTATGACGTACAACTTGTTGCTATGCTCAAAACCATCTTGGTGGTTCCCATGGCTTATATTGAAGATACCTGACTTCTTTGGAATAAAAGGAAGGTATTGATACAATTTTTGCCTTGTTGATGCAGAATTCACCATTTCATGCAGTTTTTGCCTTATTAATTCTGTTTTGGTGATTTTTCCAGGTTTGTTGATGTGTTTCTGCCCGGGAGAAAAGAAAAGAAAAAGCAATGCAGAAATTACTCCACCTCGCGCGTGGAGAGTGCTCATGCTCCGGTGAAATAATGGTTGGGTTCCTTAGCAAGTGATCTTCTGTCAATGGGTATGTAATTTTGGTAGTATGAAAAATAATTTCATAAACTGAAATAAAACTAGACTCTCCCTTTAATTTTGAGTTTCCATAGAATTTTTTTTCATCAAAAAATATTATCCTTCAATCTATGCTCAATCTGAACCAAAATCATTTTGAAGACTTTATATGATTCACGGTATCTAAAATTGCCTTAGTATTTTGGCACATAATGTGTTTAACTTGCATTATCGTATTAATTAAAGCCACGTGTAAAATCTTTCAAAACCAACATTGTAAAATCAGCAGAATCAAATCTTAGTATATTAGGATTTGAAAATTTTAAAACTTGGATGAGATTTGTGTAAGATAGATTTTACAATAAATGATAGATCTTGGCTTTGACTAAAATCATATCGCGATGTATATTTGACGAGAAAGTTTTTCAAGAAAGCCATTTTCAAATTTCAATCTAAAATTAAAATTAAAAATAATATTTATTCGAATTTTTACATTTTATACATAATAATTGCTTGAAAGATTTCTTCTTTTCTCCAATTTTGAGTTCATTTCACATAGTTAAATGTTAATAGTGAGTCTATCAACACAACATTTATATATTCAGCAACTAATGAGAAGGATTTTTTTTTTGTACAATCCATATGGTGTACAAGAAATTTTGTTCAGTAGATTCATGAATAGTTTGAAGGAGATATTTAGTGTATTTGACATGTAATAATTGATAAATTTTATTGATTTGATGTTTAATATAATTCAGATAAAATTCATACAATAGACAAATGATTGAATTTTATAACACATTTTCTTTATACAAAAGTTTTATACTTTGAAAATATATTTTTGAATCTGAGTTATTTTATGACCTACTCTTCAAGTAATGAGAAATTTTTTTAAAAATTATATAAATTTCTATAATCTGATGAATAAAAATTTGTATATTATACTACAAAAAGACAGTTGAAATGTAATTTGGGATTAAAATATTTTGCAATTATTCTTAGTGTTAAATGTGTGATTTAACATTCTCGTTTCATATTGATGAAATTTTAATCTAATCAGGGATTCCACAAGAGGACAAAGTCATCATGCTCCTCTACTCCATTGTTATCCACTTGAATCTGGAAATATTGAACTCTCGAGGATTGATAGCACCTGGAGGGAAAGTGAAGAACTGTGTCCCGATCTGACAGACGACGTTGGTGCAGCGAATGCACCCACTCCACTTACGACAACGTCATAAGGACCTCGAAGGTCAAAGCAGACTTGGGATCGTACCTGGTGCAGGTCTCAAATTCACGGACTCCACTGCCCATAAAGTCTCACTGCTCGTTCTCTTTGCTATCCTGGAACCAAACTCTGACACTTGGGACGCTTAGCTTAAATCGATACGGGGATCCCAATTCATTTTGTAGATTTCTCTATTTCTAGATTGCGGATCCCCTAACATCTGCACCAGGCGAGCAAGAAGCACCAAATATGTTCAACGGTTCACGAGAAGCTCGATAAAAGCACCGAGCGGCCAGTCCTTCGAGAAGCAGTAGTAGTCCTCAGCGGCGGTACTATATCTATCTGGTTTGAAACTAGACTACTCCTCCGGCAGTATGCCAGCTTTCCTATTCCTCATGATGCTTGTGCCCTTCGCGTCGGTGCTGTGCGTTCTTCCTAATGGTTGGCGTGTTGGTGATCGATACTTTAAGCCCCATAGAAACGCTGGGGGATACAATGTGGGAGGAGGTGGAGGAAAACCAGCACCATACGGTGGGGGATACAATGCGGGAGGAGTTGGATTAAGACCACCACCATACGGTGGGGGATACAATGTGGGAGGAGGTGGATTAAGACCACCACCATACGGTGGGGGATACAATGTGGGAGTAGGTGGAGGAAGACCACCACCAAACGGTGGGGGATACAATGTGGGAGTAGGTGGAGGAAGACCACCACGATATGGTGGTGTATTAAACACATGGATGTGGTGGTGTTCCAAGCCCCGTAGAAACAGTCGGGTAGAGACATGGGCTCCCATTATCAGTCAGTTGGGTCCCATTATTGGAGGAGTTGGAGGTGGATCATCTACAGCAAGTGGAGGTGGAGGTGGATTATCTGTAGCAAGTGGAGGTGGAGGTGCAGGTGCAGGTACAGGGTGTGGAGGTGGAGGATGTGGATGTTGAGGCTTTTGGTGCAAGCAGTTTAGAAGATTCTGAATTGCCCCGATCCAGCTGCGGAGAGCTAGATCGAAGCTCCTAGAACCTAATTCAGCTCTTGGCAGCTGGATCTCGTCCAGTGATCTCGTTAATTTGGATGTGCACATGAAATCGAGAATTTCGATAGAGGCCGAATTGTATAGAGGTTGTTCTGTTCGATCAATCAACGCAATAGATGAAAGAGAACTGCCGAAGGGTCTGTCTGGACTTAGTTCACGTGCCACTGGAAATGCACAATTTCTATCTTCTTATCGGACAGACATCTGTATAATTGACCAGCAAGGCAATGAACTTCTGATATGTGTCACAATAGAATTCGAACCAGTTGGAAACAGTTTTTCATATATGCAATAAAGCTAGCCAGCCGTACGCTTGGAGTATAATTAGAAGCTGATGGATCTCAGAGAAACGTTTAGAATGTTTTCGGAGTATCCATGTAATAGGAATCAGGACTTCGATGGCTTTACAAGGAGAATCGACTGATTTCCATGTCTGCTAACAATGCGCTTCCTACGAAATGTAAATTCATTAAAAATCGCATGAAAGATTTTAGCTGAAAGAAGGGACTTGCTGCATTGGCAAGTTCTTACCAAGATTCAAGGGTGTTCATCATTTGTTATATTAGAAAAGGCGAGCGAGCACCTGGTCAGATAGGTTCTGCTTGCCTCTCCTGCTCTGACACCAGTAAAGCGATGTCCAGACACTAGGGACAGTTTGTAAACATTCTACTACTGTATTTACAAAAAAGAAATTGTGAAAAACTGATGTATTATCTAAAACTTCAATTTTTATATTTTTCCCGGTTATATCATTAGCGTACAAAATAAGAAACCACATCAATAATGATTCAACTAGTTCTAGCATAACATGAGTTTTTTATTTAGAAAAATCTTCTTCAAATTGGAAATAATTTTCAAAAAGGTCAATGTATTCTCCATATTCTAGAAAATTTATTTCAATAATATATTACTTTTTATGTCAAAATGATAACAAAGTTCTTTCATATTACTTGTTTTTTGACTTATGTTGAGCTTTAAATTTATGTTGCAAACCACTTGTAAACTAGACCTGAAGTTGATAAAATTCTGTTTTGTTCTAAGTGGTGAATGAAGAAAAGATCTCTGTTAAATGACGAATTCTTTTTGTCATGCATATTTGATGATTTAAGAAGATGAAAATAAAAGAAAATCGTGTTCTTCTAGTACGAATAACCAGCCTAATTAATTGATTGAATCCGCTCCTTCAGATATATTTTTAAATGATTAGATTAGACAGACAGTTCTTCAGGCTGTATTTTATCAATGTGAACTTCATGTGTTTCTGTTCACTTCCTGTATCATCGGGAAGTGGAAAGTTTTAGGTTTAACTCAGCTCAGATGATGAAGATCGTCGACGCTCAGAATAGAAAAAAGCTTCTACTAAGCCTATTGGACCAAATTGCAAAGTCTTGTCCTCCAATTTTGATATCGCCTACGGTGGTGGCTTAGAGAATCCGACTACGATGAAGTAGAAACACAACGTAGCAGGCCCACGGTAAACACTGACAGCCATGGCGAAAGCCGAATCATGGTCAACTGTGCATATTTTCTCAGCCCTCCAGCTTTGGAGATCCTGGACGTGGACCATGCAACACCCGCAAAGTAAAGTCAAAGTTCTGTTCTAAATGAAATTATCTTTGCCTGAATTGAAATTTTCTGACTTCATCGCAAGACATTCATAAAACTTGGAGTCTTATGAATGTAGGAGAACCACTCAAAGACTGAGGACCTTTCCTACCATTACAACATTTCATTTTCACTTTTACGTTCACTCCATATCTTGTTTACTTATGCTGATAATTATATCAGATTCTAACAGCTGACGCTGGTCTCGAGCATATCTGTCTTCCATAGTACCCTCCGAGCAGAGTAGCCCATAGCCCATCCCATCAAGCTGAACAGAAAACCAGGGGCTAGGCCCCTATAGTACGACATATTTGAAAGTATGATCTTGAGATAGTTTCAAAGAAGCATTTCAGTAACATCTCTATTAGCTCGTAATTTAGGATGTAACCAAAACAACTACTTTCACATTCACTGCAAGCATGAATTGATCCCTACCGTCAAATAAGTAGTTGTCATCTATTGGAATCACAAAATCCCTTTCAGCCGAAGGTCATTTAAGTTTTCTACTTTTACTGGCTGTACTTTGTTCAGGAAATTTTAATTTCCTGATTCTAGAAATTGAACAATCAGCTTCTTTGTCAATTTCTCTAGTTGCTGTAATACGATTACGATGCAGTATCCATGAGGCTTTAGATTGCATGATTATAAATGACATAATGGACCAAACATGGAGCGGCCCACTAACATTTTTTTATATCCTGGAAATTCGATCATGCAACTAGTTTTGTTGAATTTTGTCAGATTATACTGGTCAGATCTTTTAAAATTACCATAACTGGAAAAGGAAAAAATGGAATAAACGCGGAATTTAATTACAGCAACCACTAACAAAACAAAGCCAATGTATCGAACGAAAGCTGAAGGCGGGGAGAAAAACATATAACTAATCTCCCATGGGAAAGCACAATGTTTTCAATGATGTCATTATGCTTTCTAAATGCAAATCGTAAGTTAGTTTGATAACAAGTTGATAATCTTCACCAATTCAAGCTTTCTTTCTCTCAACGTGCTTTAGCCTTAGCCAATGTCAATATTGCATTATGGTAGAACCAACTATATTCTTGACCATACGTATCTAGTCCACTCCCGTTGTTCATTTCCAGGGAAATGAAGATATGTCTATTATTAGCCGGATCATAGCTACAGCTCTACTGTTTGTAATTACTGTAAGGTGACATCTGTTAAGCCAATGAAGATAAGTCTCTCACGGTGATCGACATTTCTGAATCATTCAAGGCTAATCTCCACACGTCCTCTAGCTTGGCATCTAAATAATTAAGTGGCAATGGTGTGTGGAGTCTGCTCAGCTTCAGCAGCTTCCGTACATCAAGTGTGCAACTCCGAAATCCACAAAAACATTTCCGTATCAGGCGAATTTGGGGTTCAGGCAGGCGTTAGTGATAGAGATCGATGGCCTATCGGTGAAAATTTTACGTTGGAAGCTGTCAGCCACTGAAAGTGCTGCACCTACCTTGCAAAGTCGGTAGTGGCTTTGTTCAAAGAGTCAGAGTCACATCATAATTGACGTAACTCTAAATAAATTTATAATCTCCTGGGTGATTTCAAGAGTGAATGCCATTCCACTGTTTTATACGCAATGAGCACAGACATATTATGCATCATATGGTTTGTTATTTTGACGTTGAGGTTTCCAGCTGTTCTCCTCATCGCGTAACGAAGATTCAAGAAGAGGATGAAGTCCATCTTACGATCAGCTACCTTCTTCGAGTTCATTTCATAGACTGGTTCAGCAAAATCATTCGGAGTAAAATTGTATCTTTTCCTCCTATGAATGGTTAAAAAAAGTAACGGAAAGGGTTTATTAAAATTCACAATTTTTTACTACAAAATTAATAATCATAATCTATTCCAAGTTAAAAGTAAAAGCTTTTATGGAGATGAATATTTATTTAAGAAGAATCGTTGTATTGCCGCTATAACACACGGTGCTGAGCTTAGTGCTTGGTTGCGAAGATTAGTTCTTTTGTCTTGACAATTACTGTTGACTGAACTTGCAGTTTCCATTAGAGCTGGTAGCGTTCAATGAGTTAGTCCATCATCTATTGGTGAAATGTGCTTGTATGGAAAGCTGTAAATAGAATGGTACTATAGTGGAGATCTCCTTCTGATGGAGATAGTGAGAATAAATCTACTTATGTTCATTCATGTCTGTTCTTTGTTCATAATTGTGGTCGGAGTCCGCTGTATGCAGAAATTAGTTGGGCAGCATTTCGACAGTCGTGGCATGGATATAATATGTGTACACGATGGCTGATAGGTGCTCAAAATGACTTCCCACCGCTTCCAAAAGTTTCGACCTAAGCAAATCTTCAAGACTTGAGCGAGCTGTACTGAGAGGGGACAGCAAAGCACCAATGATCTGGAAAAAATTCTCGAAGACGAATTAGAACCACGAGTAGTCAATTCGGAGCTTAGCGCTGAGAGAGAAGTCAAGGAGCTATTATCTCCGCAAAAAGAAAGAGAACGGAGCCATGGGCTTCAGTGAAAGCTTCAAACACGAGTAGGGGTTATGAATTGAGGACACATTTTTCAACGACAAAGATGGTGCAATGATTTACAATTGGATTACGTTATATCTAGCTTCTGTTCGATGTCCTTGATGCTTAAATTTCAATATAAAATAAAGCCAAATAAAGTTGGGTTCTCTCCAAATAGACTTGAGTTTCATAAATATCACGACATACGTCCATATTTATTTCAGGTACCATTCATGCTGCACCAGCAAATTATCCAGGATGGTGAAAATACCAGACGGAACGAACGCTAAACTAAGCAAAGCTTCAAGGGATGAAAGAAAATTTGAATTTTTGGAAGGCTAAAGCTTTAAAGAGCTCGTTTCGCAAGCACAGCTCTGATTGCCTCAAGCTGAGAGGCTTCAGGAAAAAAAAGATTCCACCAAAATCAGAACTGATTTCACTATAAGTAATCATCATAGAATCTAATAAAATTTTATAAAGAAAATTAAACCTTAAAATAACTGTTGAAATATATCAAAGGAGATTAGAAGAACTAAACGAAAAAAATAACATCTTGATGTTTTATTTTTCAAACTGTTAAGAGAAAACCTAAAAGTTTATCTTTGCGTTTTATTTAGATTATACTCACAAATTAAAACTTGAAATACAGTTTAGAATCAATACGAACTAAAAGTTTCAACGGAGATAATGATTTATCTCATTAAAAAAGTACGATATTTTCTGTTTTTGATACAAGTACTGAGCTTATGTTCTTGTATGTGAAAATTAGATCTTTAATTTTCACTAGAACTTTATACTGTACGTG